ACTAGGTTGGGGTCGGGTTTCATTCCACTACGACGCGGCTGGACTACATTTTTTTACGTGGAGCGACTGCCATTAGACCTCTTCAACCCAAGTAATATGCCAACTACTTTACCAATAATTCTATAGTCTCTATTTTCACTTTAATACCGTGACTGTGCCCTATGGATAATCGTGTTAAGTTACGTAATAAATTATGGACACACATTTAAAGCCATCAATTTAGTGAAAGTGTGTGTCACTATCATATTGTCATTATTATAATTTGGATAATTAATATTTCATTAGAATTGTAACGTAATTTGTCGATATTTACAATTATTATATAAAGAACTAGCTTTTAGAAGTGGGTTCGCTTATGTTAATGTCAGCCTATGCCTATTACAGATCTATCTTACTGCCAAATCTCATACGCGTTCGTTCAGTGGTTTTGGCGTGATTGAGTTTCTAACATCCATACAGCTATATAAGTAAGCTGTTGCTGGCTGCTTCTTATGCAACTATGTAGATCTATGATTACAGGTAATGTTACAGAAACTTCACAATACGATAGATTAGGAAACAATGACAAATTGGAAAATGTTACTTTTTGTTCATAAATCTGAATGTTAATTAATTATTTATTTATTTCAAAGTTTTCTTTTTGTCTGTTGTACGAATATGCGAAAGCAAAGCCGAAATGATATTACGTCATCAAGTCCGTAAAAATTTGACAAATTTTAATATTTTTGTAATAATACGAATATCTTAATCCGCCTGTGTATTACAAGAAATCATATTTCAACATCCATGTAGAAGGATATGTTCTACATTGGTCACTAATCATAAGGGCAGTAAAATTGCAAGCAGTAAAATTTTAATAATTTACGCGAGAAACTTTAAAATTGAAATGCGTTTTCAACGCTAGGTGGCTTACTTGTCGATTGAATAAAAAAATTGTAGATTACTTGTTGTCAACAAATGAAAATTTTAGAACAAATTAAAAAACTTAGAAAAAGAAATACTTCAAGAACATTACTTTTTCTGAATTAATTTTATTTTATTTGTCCTTTTCTGTACCTATGACACTGAGAATGAGAATTTTAGGATGATTGGTTGATTAATGAAGATGTAAGTGTAAAAAAATAAACAAACAATCCTACACATTTTTAATATCCATACTATTTAATATTATAAATGCAGAAGTGTGTCTGTCTGTGTGTTACCTCTTCACACTTAAACTGCTGAACCAAATAGATGAAATTGGTATGAAGAAATTATGATTCTTAAGGAAAGACATAGGCTACTTTTTACCGCGATAACCGACATTTACGAGGACGGAGCCACGGGCAAAAGCTAGTTTACTATAATAATCCTTTTCAAACTACTAACTTCAAATTGGAGCTACCTAAATGTAGATTTCCTGTGTTACAATTTATATAAATGGCTACAAATACAGATTTCTCTTAAACACATATGTAATTATTGGTCGTCTAATGAATAATTTATACTTTGCTTTGCGCAAGTGTAAAGATTTCAAATCAACACATGACAAATAAGGTATTACTCACTTAACACAGGCATCAATTAAAAGGCAAGTGTGACATAGCAATATTTACTGCATAGATTTAGATCTTCAATTGAGTCACTATTTTAACCAGAGCACAAATCTATATAAATAAAAATGAATGATTAAATAAAGTTGCTAAGCTCAAAACTCGAAAACATTTGGACCATTTTTACTTTTTCATCGAGTTAAAATAAAAAGTAGAAGGTTCTCAATTGGACTGTATTTTATGATATGATCATTCATCTGAATAATTTTGTTGGGCAAGGCAATTTCATATAAATACTTGTGTTAATTGCTAGTGTGAAGATTCACATAGATATTGTATAGTTTTAACTTGCAATAGTTTACAACTGCGTTTTCTTTTTGCTGTTGCTATCAAACCTCTACAAGGGTAAATATTCATTCTTTTGAATTCTTTAGTTTTCAAAAAAATAAATTTACTGATGATAATTGTTTTAAAATACTTAATTACTCAAAACATAATGACAAGAATTTAAATATATATTTATGTACATTTAGTCAAGTTTATTTTATTGCGGTTAATGATGCAGAAGTGAAAAGAGTGAAGAATCACCCAAAAATACCAGCAAATGTTGTTATTTAATAAAGTTTTAAGAAATATTTGAAATCAAATTCTTCAGCTATCAGGAATCAAATTAACATGAAACATCTTTTATCAGTTTGAAATCATTTAAAGTTGATCCTTAAGAATGTGTTCTACCAAGTGTTATCACTATGATAAGAACATTAGTTTATTTGATAAAATTTATAAACAAATTTAGCATTTACTATTTCTAACAGTGATATGCAAATATCTGTAACTTTAGACCTGCTAATTTAATACATGCCATTCTAGGTGATAAAATTGTGCTAATAAGTAAGAGTAACAATTTTATAAATATTCATATTATAATCTTATAGCTGAAGTTAATAGCGAGATGCTAATATTTTTTTACTTATAGAGTAATTTATGATGATTTTGAAAGGATTAGAATCTTATTAGTTTATAACAATTACGTATAAAATATGTAGAATTCTAAAAGTTACATTAAAGTGTTTTAATGTAACAAGTACTAACTTTTAGTAAATAATCATGGCATTGAGAATGACTTGAGGAAAGTCACTAGTGAATATACCACTCGATCGGTGTCCCACAGCATATATACTTTAAAGAAACGAGTGACTTATCATCTCAAAGGTCTGCCGTTGGACATCAGGGAAGAAACAGACAAAGATGAATTTAAGAGGATACTTGAAAAGAGGTTTTTTTAGATTTATTATAATAAGTTTGTGCTGTATGTACCTATAATAGTTTTTGAATTATTTATAACTATTTAAATACGACAAAATGTTCGGAGAGTCGATCGCCCAGTCAATGCCCGATCGCCAAATGTAACTACCCAACATGTACCCAAATAAAGTTGAAGTTAAACTAAAAAAAAGTTTTTTTTTTCCTTTTATGATAGAGGGGGCAAACAAGCAAATGGGACACCTGATGAAAAGTGACTATTTCCGTCCATGAACAAACAATTAATTCTAATTTTTAACAGTCATATAAAATTTTAATGTTTTTAATGTCATCCCTTTTTAAGTCGTTAATCAATTGTGATATAATCAGTTTCTGCCAGTTTTCTTAGTTCAACGGTTATCACAATTATTTCGCAAAAAAATTATAAACCTTTACAATTTATCAAATATATCAAAATATTATGCAAAATTAAGTAATGATGAAACTGGATTTCCTTGCCTCTAATTTAACAGGTAAAATTATAATTTTAAATTACAAAAATAGTTATGTTAATTTATAACCATTTCACTGATAAATTAGCATATTAATAAATATAGCTTTATTTTGCTACTTAATAAATCTGTTTTCTATGATATTATTTTTAAAAATCATACCTATTCTATTTCCATTCCAGGGAACAAAGTATGATTTTGTTTTTAAATTTGAATGTTATAAAAAAATTGAATCAAGTAAATACCTGTTGACTAAAAATGTTCCTACCTGTCTTACACTTCTTTATAATAGAAAGGTCATAATGTGTATACATTATGTGGTCATGGTGTGTAGTCATTCAATTATTAAATAGTGTTTCTGATAGCAAGTTAATAATAATGCGATATTAATAGCGCCAGAATATAAAATCTACTAATTACAAACCAGTTTCCGATTACTTGGAACAGAAATTTTCCTCTCCGTAAACACGATTGATTCTTAACAGTTGATTTTAAAATTAATTTGAAAACAAATGTACCAAAACAATAGGACGATTGATATGAACAACATAGATTTGGTAAAATATACTTTCACAGAAGCTCCGAGAGATGATTGTTATCTGGACGAAATGAGAAATTGTTCTGCAAAAAATTCCGATCCTACCTCATCGAAATATTTCGTTAAATTTCTAACTTAAGTTAGCACTCACCTGTAGTATTAACGCGCGAACAGATGTTACCTATGCTATGAAATCACTTACACAGCCTGAATTATGATAAGAGTGTGATAAAAGTAAATATTGTTATAATCTTTGTTCTAGGGTTCCGCGCGTTGGTACACACAATATGGTAACCGCGACACACTTGCTCATAAGAAATTTACAACTGATGTGTAAAATTTGAACAAATAAACACGCACGCGACACAATTTGAGCATTTTTTCTCACAAAATCGGGTGTTCGTTAAAATATTATTATTCGATCGGTTGGCAATCGTCACAAAATTCTTTTGAATTGATTGATTTGGGGGATAATTCATTCCAATTGGAATTGCTTCATCGATCTCTAGCTCGCGAATGATTTATAGAACGAATGAATTATAAAGCGTTTAGTTTGTTGTTAAATTAAATAACGGTCCATTAAATTAAATTAATGAAAAATATTTAAGTACTCTACATAGTTTTAATAAATTTTAAATAACGAGAGAATATAATATAAAAGTTAAATTCATAATATATCGACTGAATCAGGATAACCATGATGTTTTACAAATAATAATTTAAAATCTTCTAAAAAGTCAATGTTGCCAGGTATGGTAACGTGACAGAAAAGTTTCACATTCTTTGTTAAACGCTTTATAGAATACTGATCTGGTTAGTCACCTCTTTCTCTCTCTATAAGACATTTTATCAAAATAGACTATTTAAAACTGTACTTTAATTTAATCATAATTTTATTGTGCATTTAGGGTCTAAATATATTTACATTTTTTATATGATCTATGACCATACAAATCTTGTTGAATGGCAACATTTCTTTTATTGCTTTTATATTATGTCAACGTTTACGAGAAGGAAGGAAATAGAAGTGGTATACCCGCTGTAAACAAAGATTAAGTTATAAACCTAAGTTAGTATAAGTAAAATAACTTTAGCTATGTTCAACGGAATTTATACGCAATAAGAAATAGTACAAAGTAGACTATATAAACCTGTAGGTATAAATAACCCATAATAATGGATGAGCTCAATCAAGAATCTAAAACGGATGCAAAAATTGAATTCAAGAAGCCTGTACTTTTTGGACGCATTGGAAAACTACCAAAGAAGGTTAAAGAAGATGCGGAAAAGCCTCCAGAAGAAAAAATTGTAGAAAAATCGGTTGAAAAACCACCGGAACCGTCACCAAAAGATTCTTTGCCACCAGCGGTTCTTTTAAAAGAATTATCGACACCTATACCTTATAAAGAGCCTAAATGGTCAGGTCTATGTCCTGATGGTTAGTAGTTTTTAGTATTAAATTATGAACTGATAAATAATTATAAATGATATTTATTTCTATCTGAATGAATCTAACAGATAAACAATCCATCTGACATGCAGTTTTAATTGTTTTGTTTTTAACTGTACTAGTTAATCTTATACAAAATTAAATTTCACATACATTTTACGTATAATGATCAAGTGCGATTTATTCTGACTTCATTCAGAAATACTTAATAAATGATTTTAAACATGTATTCCTATTATGATAGAATTACTGCATAGTTATATTGTTGTGTATTGTGTTCCAGGATCAGAATATGCCTTAGAAGTAATAAAATCAGGTATGATTATTGAGAAAATAGAACTTTCAAAAAAAGCCTACTATGTCTTCGGTAGACTGGCTAACTGTGATGTCATAATGTCACATCCTACTATATCCAGGTATGTTTGATCACTGTAGTGAATTTCATAATGTTTGAAATACCACTTTGACTTCCAGTAGGCCAATTCTCGGAACATAAGTTTGGTCACAATTGAGTTCCGATCAACTCTCAATCTTGCAACTATCATAAAAGGTATTATCTTAATACAGTATTACTAAGATTAGCAGATTACTGACTCAATTGTTACAATACAATATACATAATCACATTAAGGTCAATGTTGAATATTTAATACTTAAGAACTAAAATTTGATATATTACAGTTGTGAGATAAAGGGTTGATCAGAATTTTGATCTTTGAATTTTTGAATAATATTAGAGCCTTTAGGTGAAAAACATTTTTTTTTTCATCATTTACCAATGTATGTTAACAATACACTTTTCAACCATGGTGTACCCACATTGTAATTTACGAAAATATAGTATGTAGAAAGAAAATAATAAAGAATGTAAAAAGAAAGTGAAAACCCATAAGGCTAAACCACTTTTGATGTATTTTTGTAGAAATATAAAAATCCCACCAATTTATTTTCAGGTACAACATAACATTCTTAAACTATGGTTTACTCTCCTCACTCCAAACATTCAATATCCTTCCTTCTAATCTTAAATCCCTTTGATGTACTTCCAATTTTCTTTTTCTTAAAATACAAAAGCATCCAGTACCTAACAAAGGGAGTGGCTTCTCTCACATATAATAACCCCTACCTGCCCCTTACCAAATACAGACATGAATATATCATCATCATCCCCATCCTATTGCCGTCCCTTGCTGGACGAACGTGCCAAAGAATGCCAACCATCTGGGTCTTGGTTAGTGTGCATCCATCTGCTGCAAGCTATTTTTCTCAAGTCATTAGTCCATCGTGCTCCAGGGCGCCCTATACTGCATATATTTGTATAATGTATATTCCGTAAACTAAAATTTCCAGTTTCATGGAATTGAAACTGAAAATTTTTCAATGCTTTTTCTGTTAAATATGAATGTGTAAAATTTCCAGGCACCATTGCATCCTTCAGTATAAAGCTTTTGCAGAAGAAAACGAACCACCTTGTGGTTGGTATTTACATGACCTGGGCAGTACACACGGGACATTCTTGAACAAAGCGCGTCTCAAGGCCAACCACTACACTAGAATCAGAGTTGGACATCAAATCAAATTTGGGAATAGTACGAGAACATACATACTTTTGGTGCATATTTTAATGATATTATTTAAATCGAAGATCTTATTCTGCAAATATTTTTTTAATGTTATTCATTTGTTTGTACCGTATTTTTGACACTTTTTCATCACTTTATCCGAGAACTAGAATGTCTCCATACCGCATTGCGCCCCCCTTTTTATATTACAAGCTAAGATATAAAGGTTTGTGAACTTTTATGAAAATTTACACTGGACACCCTTCGTAGTCAACCAATGTGTATTCATCAAAATGCATCGTATGTACGTGTGTACGTGTGAGCGGACTTGGAGTGGAGATGATTTCTGAGGGCCTAGTGTAAGTTTATTTCACATCAACTCGCTCTCGACGTTGCGATTGGTGAAGACTTTAATGTGAGCCAATCACAGCACAGAGTAAATGTCAAATAAACTAACCCTTGGGCCCCTGAATGTAAGAAAACATCGAATGGATGAAAAGTATGACTCTTAAGCAATTTGTCTTTTCAAGAATATAGCTTTTTCGCTGCCTTTTCTTCACCGCGCCAACGCGACATATATTTTCATTTCATTTCTTACCATAGATGCAAGTTTCATTTCATTTATTAGATATGATAAACGTTATTTAAACTTTCAGGGTCCTGAATTCGATTGTGAAGGTGAATCGGAACTTTCCGTATCAGAGATCAAACAGAGAGCTCTTGAGATGAAGTTAGATAGAGACAGGATGATTGCAGCAGCAATTGAAGAAAGAGAAAGGCTGAAGTTGGAAGAAGAGAAAAAGAGAGAGGAACAGGGCATTGACTGGGGAATGGGTGAGAAAAATATGTTATATTTTAAAAGCTTCCTAGGTTTTATCCCTGAAGAAAAAAATCTTGCGTACACCACATTACGACACTAACCAAGCAATGATCGGGGTTAAACCCGTACTAGAGAACTAGTGCAAAATACATAGCTGCGACAGTGGCGCCGTGTCTTTATGCAGGACTACTGTACAGTACAGTGGTTCCCTACTCTAGTATCACAGTTTTTCTTAATTTTATGATATCGGGGTAAACGAGCAGACCTGATGATAAGTGACTACCGCCGACCATGGACACCTGCAACTCAAATCACCAGTACGTTTCCACCTTCTGAGTCCTGCTTTCCGCAAGAACCTGGTTGCGAGTGATTTTGAGCTCCGTTAACCTCACTCCCGCGGTTAAAAGCAACTAAAACTAAATGTAACATAATGTAGCGAAATGAAGTTCTATTTTGAACTGTGATGCTATTACCGTGGGAGAGCCATGCTCATGAGAGGTTACCGGAGCCCAAATCCCTCCTCCCGCTGACTCGAGCGTGAGGGACTCCAAGGGCAGAACGCACTTGTGACTTTTGTGTTACAGGTGTCCATGGGCGGCGGTAGTTGCTTACCATCAGGTGAACCATCTGCTCGTTTGCCCCCCTTATAATATAAAAAAAAGTGTTTGTTTTTTAAGGTCATATTGTCATAATCATTTAAAGTTTGATTCCTGAAACTAGTTTTATTCTATAACAATTATGCAAAATTAAACTTGATGCGCCTTAGAATAAAGTTAAGTGTTGATTAATTGCTTATGTGAGTGAAATTATAAACAAATAAATTGTGCCTTACAGGCGAAGATGCTGAGGAAGAGCTAGATCTAGCAGATAACCCGTACGCCGTCACGGCTAACGAAGAGTTGTATCTAGATGACCCTAAGAAGACGCTCCGAGGGTACTTCGAGAGGGAGGGACATGAACTCAGCTATGACTGTGAGGAGAGGGGTGTTGGACAATTCTTATGCAGGTAATGAACAATATTTCGATCCTATCCTCGCTTCTGTTCCTGCTGTTAAATGATTGACATCCTTTCTTATTTTTAGGGTAGAACTGCCTATGGATGATGTCAGAGGCCGTCCAGTAATCGCAGAAGTTATACACAAAGGAAAGAAGAAAGAGGCGGTCGTGGCATGCGCTTTAGAAGCTTGCCGGATATTAGACAGAGCTGGTTTGCTGAGACAGTCCAAACATGGTAAGTACCATTTATATTAGGTTACCATTTATATAGGTCTTATATGTACTTAAAGCTAAGAATGATCCCTGATAAATCCCTATTTCTCTTGGTCACGGCATCACGCGTGAACGGCTGGACCAATTTCGTTAATTCTTCTCTTTTGCTGTGTTTGTTACTGTCAGGAGAAGGTACTTATCATGGGGTTCACAGATGCAAGAGGTCAGTCGTAGGATATTTGCTTCAGCCGGTTCTCTTCGAAGACTACGCAAATTCCTTCCAACTGCAACTAGGGTTGCGCTTGCACAAGCACTTCTCCTCCCAATTCTCGACTATGCCGATGTCAGCTATCTGAATCTCATTGAAGCACAACTCGATAAGCTTGAGCGACTACAAAATATGTGTATACGATTCGTATTTGGTTTACGAAAATACGATCACGTCTCTGAATTCCGTCAAATGCTCAAGTGGCTTCCAATTCGCTCTCGCCGGAATACTCATATCCTTATTTTCCTTTACAACATTTTGTTTAATCCCAAAACCCCTTTCTACCTCAAAGAACGATTCAAGTTCCTTAATGACACACACGAAAAATGACTGCGGTCATCCGTAAGTTTACAACTGGAGATGCCACTGCATTCCACCAAATTTTATGATCAATCCTTCACTGTTGAAGCTGTGCGCGCTTGTGGAATGCACTGCCGCTTAACATCAGGCAGGCGCAAACATTATATAGATTCAAGAAAATGGTACAGGAATTTTATTCACCTTAATTGAGTCCATCACGCTTGAGGGTGTAACGAAACTGTTTCTCTTTTCTATACGTTTATTCATTTAAGAATGCGTATATATATATGTATGTGTATATGTATATTTGCTGGTATAGTATGTAGGTACTTATATATATGTAGGTTTATTTATTGTGATATGCATTGTAGATGTAAGTATAAAATTTGTAAATGTTTGTAGATAATATAATATGTGTAGTATATGGAATATGTATAGTAGATAATAATAAACTAATAGTAGGTTCACAAATGCAGATATTCAACTACTACTGTCTCTCTGCAACTTTTGATCCATCCTAAGGTTGCCTGGAAGAAATTGCATTTAGCAATAAGGCCGCCCTTTGTACACTCGATATTTGATCGCTGTGTTCCTTGCTTGTAACTCTGTAATTTAGTGTGCAAATAAAGAGTTATCTATCTATCTATCTTATAAAAGAAAATGTTTAGAAAATTGCGTGGAACACTTTTACATTAATTTTGTATTTGTTTAATGATCCTGGGGGACTTATGGCTCTACGGTCAAATAAATTCTTTAAATAAATAATTTCGCAATGTAACGTTATGTTTTGTATTATATTTTTGATTTTTTTTTTTTATTAATTATACTAATGCGAATCAATTCATAGTTAAGATAGTTCAGTTAGTTTCTACTTACATTTTATGAACTTACATGTCAGTCATCAATGCTTTCGTTTTTTTAGAAAGGGTAGAAATTTCATTTACATTCTATGCAAAACCTCTTTTCACTTTAGCATTAGGGCCGCCATTGGATATTTGTAAGTCTGTGTCTTCTTTTTTCTAAGTTTAAAGTAAAGAGTTTTTATTGTTATTATTCTATTCTTTATCGTTTTAGTAGAGCTTTAAATAATTGATCTTTGAGTACAGCTGTCAAGTCCTAATTATTGTTGTTCCAGAATCTCGGCGGCGGAAACAACGCGACTGGTCCGCAGACGATTATTACTCTTCGGACGAAGACACGTTCCTCGACAGGACGGGCAGCGTTGAGAGGAAACGGAAGCTGCGGATGGTGAAGCAGGGAGCAGTCGAAAGAGAGGTGGAGAAGCCGAGGACTTACGATGACTTGGTGAGCTACTGCTGTGAGGCAGACATAAAGGCCTTTATATCAGTCAACCTTGAAGTGATGTATAAGTATAATGTATTTTTCATTGGCAGCGCAGTTCAAAGTTAAAATATAATTAGTAAATTATGTTGTGTACTTGCAAAGAGCCATACTTTGGCATGAAAGAGCCAGGAGTGATATCACAGCCTCACAGAAAACCAGTGTTAAGCAGTTCTTTCAGTGCTTTTCACTGGCAAGGTGAACGGCTGGCGGTATTCACCATAAGGTGGTTGGCCCCTGTTCGTTTGCCCGTTGCCTTTTGCATCCATAAAAAAAACACTCGTTTGAGTATTCTGATCACAGCAATATCGGATCTTCGGTTACTAAGCTATCAACATAGCTTAGTAACCGAAGATCTTGGAAAATGAGGGAGGGAAGCTTTAGGGGGAAAAGCTATTATTTCTTGACTTAGTATAAAGTTTACAGAAGTTTGTGATGAAATGCTATATTTTATATCTTTAAAATTATTTACTAACAATTAAATTAATTAATTAAATATACAAGGTATCCCAGAAGTCGACGTCAAGCCGGCATCTGAATCAAAAAAAAATCTTTGCCACGTATTTTAAAAATTACAGATATTTATAATAAATCGAGAAAATTTACACTCTGTGACGGTCTTTTAACTCCTGTTACTACAATTTTAACTTTTTTAAAATGTAATCCTGAATAATGCTTCTAAATACTGATGCTTAAAATATATAGCCAATTGAACGTATTTTTTTTCCCAACCAAGTCTTCAAAAGTTTGGCAAAGTAACTTTTAAACACTAGCAAGATTGTTCGTTTAATTACGGAAAAAAAATCTGCCGACCCACAGTTGTAATTTTTTTTTCCTTATCTGGCGAAAGAGGTTTTTGTACCCCAAGGCCTTCCTCAAGCCTCTTACTTAAGATCCTAGTTTGAGTGAAACGAGGTATAAATCCTCTTTTCCTGTAGTCCAAAATCACCACACCACAACAGAAAAGTGTTAACTATTATGACTTGACCTATCACCTGACTCCGGCTTGACGTCGGCTTCTGCCTGCAGAGCCTGAATAATTACTTTATTAAGTACTTAATGTTATAAATAATCGTTTCCTGTTAAAGATAAAACAGATAAGCGACATCGAATCCAAGATTGCATCAGAAGAGCGTACCCTGGAGCGACTTCGGTCATCGTCAGCGAAAGTTCAACCTTCGGAAGACGAAGACGCTCTGGACCAGTTCATGAGCACCCTGGGTAAACCAACCATGGCTGACAAAGCTGAGATTTCTAAAGCTAAGGTAAGATTGATAAGTTACATAAAAATGTTCTTTTAGAGTATTTTCAATAGAGAGAGAGGAAGTCCAGCAACGCGCTTGGGACTCCTGAGTTGCAGGCGTTCGTGGGCGGCGGTCTTCACTTTCTATCAGCTCATCCGTTTGTTCGTTTGCATACTTCTATAGTATATTATAATGAGACATTCCGAAATGAGGCTTAGCTACGTTTATGGTTACTGCTCCGCCCCTAAGGGGGTCCGTGTTCGGGTCGTAGCGTGATGTTAACTGTAACTTGCTTTAATAAATATGTGACGTATCCCGCTAAGTTTGACCAGGTGAAATTGTCACGCAATTCAAAGGTATAAGTAATACTAGAGATCCGCCCCGGCTTCGTACGGGTGCAATGTAGATACTACTAATGTGGTGTCAGTGTGGAGTAATTGATTATACTATTATTATGATAGGACGATACTGCTGGACATTTTTAAATGCAATATTTATATACCCGCTCCGATCCTGTCGGCCGCTTCCACCCGTAACGGATGTACGGCTCGACGGCCGATAGGGCTCCGCATTTTAAACCTCTAATAACTTTATGCGAAAAGCAATTTTAATCTACATTAAATGCACAACGTATTTAATTGGATAAGAAATAATAATGTATCGTTTAAAATAACCCATTGTTTTTATTTTTTAATTTAAAAAGACAACTCCCGCATTAGGAACAAATCATGTGTCGCGGGGGACTTTACAAACATACATGAAACGGACACAAAGAACACCCAGACTCAGAACAACAATTTGTGGATCACACAAAGTGTCCTCCCATGTGGGGTTTGAACCCACAACACTCGGCGTAGTAGGAAGAGGCGTGGCGACCGCTTAAACCACTACGCCATCCGTGCAGTCGCAATTTTTTTGTAATATTTAAAAGATAAAATGGTTACTGTGGGTAATCCTTAAGAGATAGACATACACCATTGCGGACTATTTTGTAGATCTTTTTAAGGGATATAATTCCGTAGTACATTATTTCGGTCTATCTCGTAAGGTTTAGCCAGCGTTTGCAATGTAAGCCCGCAAAACCAATTTTTTAAGACAAATCTTTGAAATTCTCGGATTTTCTCTACTATAATATGCATGTATTATACATAAAAACCTTCCTCTTGAATCACTCACTTTTTTGGTGAGTGATTCCGCATTAAAAGCCGTTGTTGCTTAGTTTAGAAGATCTAAGCGTATAACACAAAAAGCGACTTTATTTTATACTATGTAAAGATTAATTGATTACAGTAATTTTGGTAAAACAACATACAAAAATAATTCATGGCCCATCCACAACTCACCAACCGTTTGTCCTCATGTTGCATATTTGTTTCTCTTATCAGATGAACATACAAAAGTTGAAGAGCGAGCTATCTAAAACCCAGCGCCTGGCGGAGCTGGCGCGGCCTGCGCACCTCCCGCCTCTCATCAAAAAGGACGACAAAGTCATCAAGCAGGCGCCCAACTCTGTTGTCTATGGCAAGAGGTGAGATTAATCACGCATTTTTGCTAATTCAATCTCAGTTACTTAATACGTTAGTTAAAGATGCACTTTTATGAAGATCTCGTTGGCATAGCGGTCGTCTATTGCATTAGACAACCAGAGTTCGAATTCTGTTCAAGGTAAAACGTTAAATCCCAGCAGAATGCCTCCACTGGCCATTAACTGCAACTCCACAGCTGACCTTCAACGAAATGTCTATTGTTTAAATACATTATTGTATTTTGACTACCAATTATTCGAAGCCGTCCATTCATATTTGTAACATACAATTCAATTATTTGTTCAATACACAGTCAAAATAAAAGCCTTGTTTTTTATTATTATTAACTGAAAATCTGTTTTTTTGTATAATTGTAAAACACATTATAACTGAGTTTTTCTGTGTACTTTAAAGCATTCGAGACAACATTTTTTTTCGCCTTTGAATTTACTTTTACGATTTTACTTAAACCTTAATTTATTTTAATTCTCTTTATTAATATGTATTCCAGAATAAGATTAAAAGAAGACTCAGAAAAACGTCCAAAGTTACGTCCAGAAAAGAAACAAGACGAATCAGAATTTGTTGAAGAAGTGGACTCTGATGAAGAAGAAAAACACATACCTGAGAAAAAAGAAGCAAAAGAAGTTCAACCAGAGAAGACAAAAGAAGTAGAAGTAAAAGAAGGCAGCAGTAAAAAAGAAAACGAGTGTGTTAAGAAAGTTTACGGACCTATGAGACCGCCAGAAAATTATGTTATTCCAGAAAACTATTTTGATGCAGAGAGTTCAAGAGATCTTCCTGAAATAATGGAGAAAGAGTTGGAATGAAGTTAAATATATAAGTTTTTGTTTTATTTCTTTAAGATAACTTTTATTTTAGATCATAATATCCCGATCGTAAGTAGTGAACGGTGTGTATTATTATATGTGTGATTTACACACACTAAGACTAAGTACTATAAAAAATACCCAAACTCAGAACAACAATTCTCCGCCTAAAGGATAATCCGCCTCATGTGTGGGATCGAACCCACAACACTCAGGGCAGTATGAAGCGACGCCGCGACCGCTTAAACTACTACGCCATCCGTGCATTCGCAACCTATTGATTCTCAGGGGTTTCTTCATAAATCATAAATTAGTTAACATATATGTACAATGGTATGTATTTTCAATTAACAAAGACGAGAATTGTAGGTATTGAAACAAAACCGTTATTTACACAGGAATCAAGTCAAATAAGTTTTAACGATATAATTTATTGCTTACAAATAAAAAAAAGTACGGAACATCTACATTTTCAATTTATTCTATGGATGTTGCACTTAACTAAAACCCGGTATATACCGAATAACCGTAAACTTCTCAAGATCTGATAATAACCGGTAGTCTTAAAACTGATTTGTCGGTAACACCGGTTAATTCTAGCTAAAAGCGGTATTTATCGGTCAATTTCGCCGAACACGACGTCGAGTGTTCCTATGATAGCCACGATATCTGCCAACATGGAGTTCTTGCCGATTTTCTCTAGAGCTGCGAGGTGAGCAAATCCGGGTGCCTTGATTTTGCATCTGTGGAAGAAAAGTGTATGTGTATAATAATTCGGGAGAGTTTTATATTATTGAAGTTAGACGTAAAAAATATATATTTATATATGCAAAACTGACAGGTATTTACTGTAATATGTAGTAAAAGATACCTTATTATTTACATGTAAGGTTGTATTTAGATTATTATAATAGGGAATATGCATGTATTTTTTTAAACGATTCTACTAGTTATTACATTACCAAAAATAAATATAACACATCCGAAATATAAACCGTTAAGCAAAATTTAAAAACCGTTAAGCAAAGTTTTATTAAAATCACTATCATATTGGGGCAATTTGAACACGTCAATTTTGGCGCGCTTTTTTTGTGACGTCAGATTACACTTTCAGACGAATTCGATGTCAACAACGGAGTGAAGTTCACAAAGTTTGTGAAAGTTAAAAAAGTGAGTGATAAAAATTAACTTATTACCATGGAAAAGCCAATAAAAACTTATTATAAATATTGTGCCGTTCCTTTGTGCCCAAATAATATCAAAACTGCACCTGACAAAGTATATTCAGTCATTGTGTTGAGTCTTTCTACACGGGAATTTAATAATTTAACACTGAAAACGTATTAGTTATTAACTTAAAATGAAACAAATAATCACCAGAAACCAAATATTACAAATACACACAACTTGTTGACACTCTTGACAGTGTAGGTTGACGTTACGTTTTATTCAACCAATAGCGTTGCGTTTTAGAAATTTGCGAGGGAATCTTAAAAAAGCCAATGTTTGATGATTAAATTTCACTATTAAATTATAATAAATTTCAAAAATAATTGTATGGGTATTTTTTTTTAGCAATAAAAATTACAAATAAAAATTATTTGTCCATTTTGGTGTCACGTACATATTCCCTATTGACTTTTATAATTCACTCTTAATGAATATGTGTAAGATGAGAACTTGGTGACAACCACTTTTTTTTGTTTAGAGGAAAAACCTGTCACCTGGTCACCTGCAACTTAAACAAGTCACAATTGCGTTGAAGCTCTTCGAGTACCCCAAGAATAAATGGTATGGGAGGTTGGGCTCTTTTAATCTCACTCACTCGGTGTACAGCAATGAAAGAATGGCTGAACACTATAATAAAATACTTTAGGACCCTGATTCATGTGATAGGTTACAATCTGTGTTACAGGCAACAATGTCTTCACCCATTTAATTGTATCAACTATACTATAAGAATACAGTTAAGTGTGTGTGTGTGTGTGTGTGTGTGTATCTGTGTGTGGGCGTGCTTATTGTAGCAAGTTTTTGATTTGTGTGTAGTCGAGCGTTAGTAGCAATTGATTTTATTTTAATTTCGAGGTCATTTTGGCCTGGCTGGATTATCACAGGGTAAACTGTGCCTGTTTGCCTTAGTGGTATTCATGATCACCTGTGTGTACATGCCAGTCATACAAACAATGTTAGAAACACAACTGTACCTGTAAGGCTTGGAGCTTCCGTCGGAGACGAGGTAGATGCCGAACTCGCCCTTGGGCGCCTCCACGGCCGTGTAGGTGACGCCGGGCGGCACCTGGTAGCCTTGCGTGAACAGCTTGAAGTGGTGGATCAGCGCCTCCATCGACGTCTGCGAATTTGCAAGGTTGTGTTACACTTTGTACGAGAGGCTTAGAGATGGCATTTGTATCTTCAATATGTTACATAACCGCAGTCCCAACACATAACTTTGAAATTTACCAATATCAATTAACCAACGTAGCTTACCTTCATTTCCTCGCGACCTGGTGGAGTGAGTTTAGCATCATCAGTCTTCACCTCTCCAGCCGGCATCTGGTTCAAGCACTGGTCTATGATGCGGAGCGACTGACGCATCTCCTCTACACGGCACAGGTACCTGGCAATTGTCACAGACTTTTTTTATACTACTATACGAGCAGACGGATCCCCTCATGGTAAGTGACTACCGGCACCCATAGATAAGAGTCACAACAGCGCTGCCGCCCTAAGAGTACCCAGCCCGGAATCAGGAGGGGAGGTCTGACTCACCTGTCATAGCAATCGCCGTTAGTCCCAATGGGTACGTCAAAGTCTACGAGGTGGTATGCGTCGTATGGTTGCGACTTACGCAGATCCCATTTGATTCCAGACCCACGGAGCATCACACCACTGTAACAAAGAAATTTTTTTGTAAACAATGCATGATAGCGAATACTACAAGATATTTAGTTTACTTTTTCGTTTATAATACTTACAGAAACTATCTGATTTCTGAAATAGAAATCTATCTGCAACGGTAACTGAATTAATTGATTTTGATTTATTAAGTGGATTATTATTCCCCGTGGTTGATATAAGAGTCAACTAAGGGAGCAAACTATACAGAACAACACTGCAATTAGGGAGCAAACTTGAAAAAAACCCTATACCAACCCGTTTGGCCAAGGTGGTATAGTACAAACCTTTGGGCTGTTGATGTTATAATAAAAACCTAATCACTTAATAAATGACGGAAATTCAAGGTAACAAACCTAAAAAAAAAAACAAAATGAAAACCTAGTTTTTTTTAATTCGTTTAAAAAACTGACAATGATGTTACTATTTTTCTAGGTTTATATAAAAATAAAACTGGCGCTTAATACCTGAATCCATAATTTATAGCATCCTCAGCAGTGACCAGACCAATGTCTTTAGTTCTCTGTACCCAAATCCTGTTGGTGGTCAACACATCCTCCACTTCGTCCAGGCGCTCCGAGAACTTGGCTGCGAACTCGTATATGTCATCCATGAGTCCTAGCGGCATATCCTGGAAATAGATAATCAAGATAAATAATCGCCTTTGAAGGTCATCAGCTGTTTTCCAACCGTTGTTGAGATTTTAGAGTCGAGGGTAGTTACAAATTATAATATAATTTACGGTTGTATATTATCAAGAAGTATCTGTGACGGACGGTGACGGATTAAGAATACAGAGTGTCACCACCCCTATTCATCCCGTGGGTGTCGTAAGAGCCGACTAAGGGACCAAATTAAGCAGGGCAACAAAACTGCTGAGAGAAGGAAAACTTGACACAAACCCTATACCAACCCGTCTGGCCAGCGTGGTATAGTAGGCCAAAACCTCCTTTCTAAGGAGAGGCCTATGTCCAGCAGTGGACTAGCAAAGGCTTTTGATGATGATGATGATGATCTTGGTCAGAGTACTGGCGAAGCATCCCAAATTTTTTTCTCTTTTGAGACTAGTCCATTCCAGTGAACGTATCGATCAAGCCCAGCACTCTGACTAATCAGGTTTCAAGCTTTCGTACGAAACGATAATCTCTTTGAACCTGATTGGACTATAGAATGTAGAAACATTATATAATATATGTACATTACGTCAAACTAAATGCTAGTTAGATACACAAACACCTTTCTTACCAAATAAACGCCTCCAGGTCTGATGTACGCGGCGTGCATCCGAGCTCCACTCACTCTCTCATAGAACTCCATCATTTTTTCTCTTTCTTCGAACAGCCAGAAGAATGGAGTAAGAGCTCCTACATCAAGAGCGTGTGTACCGACTGCCATGATATGGTTCAGGATACGGGTAATCTCGGCAAACAAGGCTAAGAAAATAAGAATGAAGATTAGTGGTTTTCAGGTCATAACTTTTTTATTTAATAAATAATAATTATTATTATAATTAACTTCTGGCCTTTTTTTATTATATAGGAAGCAAACGAGCAGACGGGTCACCTGATGTTAAGTGATTACCTCCGCTCGTTTACACAAACAACTCAGAGTCAGCTCAGCATGCTTAGCCACAGATCTACGATTTTTGCGAACCGGGGCAGAAACTAGCTAAATAGCGCCTCCTCTGTCCAGATCCGGAGCTGTAAGGTGGGATTACGCCCTTTTGGCCTTAAGGTTTGGGGGTCGTATCGGTACGTAAATCATCTGTCTAGACTGCATTTAACTCCGTCTAGGGTGGATGCTGGCGGTTCTTAAGACTCCTTAGTATATCTGCATTAACAATATCCTTCCTTTCGTTCTCCTATTAACTATCTCTCCCTTCCAATATACTTCCAACTTGAAAACTTAGTAAACATAGTAAAACGTGGGTGTAATAGATGTGTGGGATAGAGGCCATGTAACTCACTTCTAATGTATTTAGCGCGAAGCGGTATGTCGATGTTAAGAAGCTTCTCCACGGCCAAACTGTAGCACTGTTCATTGCACATCATTGAGACATAGTCCAGACGATCGAAGTAAGGAAGAGCCTGGGTGTACGTCTTGTATTCGATGAGCTTCTCTGTGCCGCGGTGAAGGAGTCCAATATGGGGGTCAGCGGCACGGACTGTCTTTATAAAAAAAAAAGACATTTTTGAGATAATTAACAAAATAAAATGTTTGATTTGAGTCCCTCTTCCAGTAGTATTTATATAACTACTAAGTTAATGATACTTACCTCTCCATCTAACTCAAGCACGAGACGTAACACTCCGTGAGCAGCTGGATGCTGAGGACCGAAGTTCAATACCATGTTGCGCACCTGTTTTTCACCCGGTTTGACCACACCTAGCCAATTATATAAAAGTTAGAATATTTTATTTGTTTACGCTATTATTATTTAAAGAAAGTATAAACTGAACCCAGAGAATCAAACAAAGAGGTCTCCAAAGCAACCAAGTACCTAAATAGAACACATGAAGGCCACTGCATAGCAGAATTAAGTTATGTTCTCCAGGCAAGGTGTCTCCATGAGATTACGGCTCGGCGACCGCTGTTAGGTCGCGGGAGTAAGACCCTAAGCGTAATTGATTGTAAGTTGACCACGCACATCACAGTTCATGAGCTTGTCTGAGGCAAGGCAATTCGATCCGATTAGTGTGTGTTGCATTAGGGTATAGGAATAGATACTGCACAGCTCTAGTTCATATGTGTACATCACAGTAATTCTAATAGAAATTGTAAATTTCTAAATAGCCATAATTAAGCCACAGATTTGCACTGCTGGCCTGCTCAAGGTATTGTTTACATTCCATCTGTATGACCAATATCCCTTTCCTTTTAATATACCTTTCCATTCCATACACTCCCTATTTTCTAGGATTGACCCTTTGACCACAATGGGACTAAAATTGCAGTTTGGCCACCTCTTCCATTAAAAAAGGCATTTAATAAACCAGTGCCTACCACTTCACAGATATAAGTGTCTGTCTGTGCATATTTACATACCTAAATACTCAAAATGAATTATAGAATTAAAAACATCTTACCATGGTATGGGGGATGCTTTATTAGTGAGCCAATGTCCTCAGGGTACATAACAGCCCCTTCAAATTGTTTCACAAACTCTTGGTCTGGCATCCATCTGTGGGCGCTGCGCTGGTTGCTGAAGTTTGAAATAAAAAATTATATAAATTTATTATATACTGTATATAAATACAATATACAGTACTGATGACTTCGAAAGGTATACACCAACAAATCAAGAATTTGACAGGGTTGGTTTAATGGTTAGTGAACCAGCCTTCTAAGCCAGAGGTTGAGGGTTTGATTCTTACCGAACACAAATAAATGAGTGATGGGTGCAAAGAGAAGGAAAACTTAAAACAAACCCTATACCAACCTGTCTGGCCAGCGTGGTATAGTCCAGCAGTGGACTGTTATAGGCTGGTGATGATGATGATGGGTACGATCATTCAATTCATCATCAAATAAGTATGTTTATCAGTAGTCTAATCACCATAGTAAAAGCCAAGCTTAGTTTGGGATTAGATGGATATGTGTGAGATGAGTTAGGCGATTATTATTATAGGAATTATTTTCTAACCTATAGCTGCCCTTACCAATCATATGTGAGCAAATAAATCCCTGATTGTGAAATACTAGCACAAAGAATAATGTTAAATATGATATTTAACAAAAAATGTCCCATTGGTATAATGCTGATAGCAAGTAACTACTTTATGTGACTGTTCAATATTCTTTTATGTCATGTTATATTATTAAGTCTTCCTAAACAGAATTGTATAGTGCTCAGACTGAGCTGGTTTAGAAACAGATCAACACATTTAATTTGTTACCTGTTTTACTATTCTAATATGTGTCCAATACAGTATAGCGTACTTTAAAAACAAGTGAAAATCGTAAGAGGTTTGCTGTGGCTGTTTAAAGCGAGAGTTAGCACCAAAATATGTAAGTAGAGTTGATGCCATTTTGAAACATAAGTTTACATCCTTGTTAAATCTTGCAATGATAATAACATTTATATGCAGACTATAATATCTTAATAACTTATAGGTCATTGTCTTAAACGTAGTAATTAGTGTTTTTATCATAATAAAAAGGCAAATTGTACAGATTTGTAACCTCAAACGTTACATAATTTTTATATTAGAATATCGTTATATCTGGTCTAAAATTTATATTTTACCAAAACAGGCACTCACTTCACATTGTAAACTGCAGGTAAATTCTTTAAAAGGGCCCCCGCTTGCCCTAAATTGTTAGATTTTCGCAGCAAAACACTGAGCAAAGAGGCCATTTTTGACGGGACTGCGGTCCGTTCACCAATAAACAACACTTATGTCAAAATCCGTCAGCTGACAGTACAAAACTGTATTAATCTTATAAGTTGAAGTTTGACGTAATTTAAATTTTGATCGCTATTATTATCCGATAAATAATGCTAAATTATAAGTTCTTTCATTTAAGTATTCACCAATTTAGTGTGTATTATTATATCATTCCATATATTTAAAGTTCATCTGCATATACAGAAACACATTGCTGTGCTACTGCTTCGTTTAGTTACTGCATATCATCAAACATCCGTAATCTTTCTGACACCACACTGATCACTAAATTACTTAGTACCTACATATTAGAAGTGTATAAGGCTTTTATATCTTCAATTTAGTATTTAGGCCAAACCAAGATTTGCTAAACATTAATTTTGTCTGTATCACCTCACCTTAATACTGACTTTGCGAGACTTCCTTTGCTAAATTGTCTTTCGGAGATAGACGAAACACATTTATTTATAAATAATATGTCCTATCTTATTTCCATAGATTGCCACAACCGCTTACCATCAGGCGGGCCGTTGTCTACCTCTGGTTTCTAAATATGCCTTTGATTTTTAAGTTTTCAGAACCAACTCTACTGGCTCTTTGAACCTTGACGGATTTTGTACATTTTCATTTTTCCATTCAAACAAGATCATTTTTTCAAATGTTTTTTCTAAGAGGTGATGTAACTTATGTACAAGAAAGACGGCAGCTACACGATACCACACTCTATTGTTACATATTTAACTCAGAAGGGTTTTATCGCTGTGTTTTATAAGATTGAAGGGAATGTTACCACGATGCCAGAAGAAGTCAAATCAGACAAATAAAAGCACGAAATAAAAAGTCATAAGTATACTTTATTAAATTCTATACTTCATTTAAATCTTAATTAAAAACACCATTTCTTCATTCATTAGTTACCCTTAGGACAGTACTAACTTACTTATAAGCCGCTGAAATTTGATGAAACCAACTTATCATTCATTCATAAGACTGAATGATGCAATGTGAAAGAAAAAAAAGTGTTTTATATACTATTGGTTCACCATAGATTGCCATACATTTCATTGGTATTTGAGTGGCGTTCTAAACAGCATATACATTAGCTACTCGCTTCGAAATGCTTTCTATCTTCAAATATCAGGATTAAAAATGAATATAGTTATCTTAAAGCCTATTTGACTCGTTTTTGTTGCCGCTGGCGATAAATATCGTTGACTGGAGGCGCTACACCCAGTTCATCATCATCGGAGTCTTCACCTAATTTTCGTCGACGAGCCTGATGAAAACAATAATAAAATATTATTTACATGATCCTAAGCTATAGCAAGGGACAAAATCAGTGACCTGTGAATGAACCTAACTTATGAAGGCAAAAATCGACTGATAAACCACAGTTCAGTGTAACTTTGTCCCATGTCTACCAAGCTATATTTTTGTATTTAATAGTCCCTGCTGTACTTGAGTAAGGTATAGTCTATTAATATTTATTATTAAAAGAGGTTGTACCAAAAATTTATATGTGCGGATGTCAGTAAATAGAGGACATTCTGACGAAGGAAGAAGAAACCATTCGTTTTTGTGTTAACCATTGGTTGAAGAATCTTCTCCTAAAATACCCGTGGTCTTGAAATAATCTCCAGACTACATAGTTCTATCAGGCCCAGTTCAGAATTAAATTTTATAATATTTAAATAATATTAAATATCTTGTTACTATGTTACATAATACACATATTATGTTTGGTGACAAATTTAAAAAGGTGTATGTTATGTTTCATAGAATATTATAATGATGGGAATATAGTATATTGCTACCTTGCTGGCGACAGTGGTGATGCCCTCATCATCGACGATCGCCTTGTTTTTTATTATTATTAACTGAAAATCTGTTTTTTTTATAATTGTAAAACACATTATAACTGAGTTTTTATGGCATTCGAGCCAACAAACCTTTGAATTTACTTTTACGATTTTACTTAAACCTTAATTTATTTTAATTCTCTTTATTAATATGTATTACAAAATAAGATTAAAACAAGACGAAAACAACAAACAAAAAGAAACAAGACGAATCAGAATTTGTTGAAGAAGTGGACTCTGATGAAGAAGAAAAACACATACCTGAGAAAAAAGAAGCAAAAGAAGTTCAACCAGAGAAGACAAAAGAAGTAGAAGTGAAAGAAGGCAGCAGTAAAAAAGAAAACGAGTGTGTTAAGAAAGTTTACGGACCTATGAGACCGCCAGAAAATTATGTTATTCCAGAAAACTATTTTGATGCAGAGAGTTCAAGAGATCTTCCTGGAATAATGGAGAAAGCGTTGGAATGAAGTTAAATATATAAGTTTTTGTTTTATTTCTTTAAGATAACTTTTATTTTAGTTCATAATATCCCGATCGTAAGTAGTGAACGGTGTGTATTATATGTGTGATTTACACACATTAAGACTAAGTGCTATAAAAAATACCCAAACTCAGAACAACAATTCTCCGCCTAAAGGATGATCCGCCTCATGTGTGGGATCGAACCCACAATACTCGGCGCAGTATGAAGCGACGCCGCGACCGCTTAAACTACTACGTCATTCTACTACTATGCGAGCATTCGCAGCCTATTGATTCGCAGGGCTTTCTTCATAAATCATAAATTAGTACATATACATATAACATATATGTACAATGGTATGTATTTACAATTATCAAAGACGAGAATTGTAGGTATTGAAACAAAACCGTTATATACACAGGAATCAAGTCAAATATGTTTTAACGATATAATTTATTGCTTACAAATAAAATAAAAAGTACGCAACATCTACATTTTCAATTTATTCTATGGATGTTGCACTTAACTAAAACCCGGTATATACCGAAAAACCGTAAACTTCTCAAGATCTGATAATAACCGGTAGTCTTAAAACTGATTTGTCGGTAACACCGGTTAATTCTAGCTAAAACATCAGGCAAACCAGAGGTATGTAATACCCTAAATAAGAGATCGCGTTAATTCCCGTTAAATAATATTAATGAGTTAGTGTCTGAGTTTATTCTGAATCAAGAAAACTGTTCCTATTGCTTCGATTCACTGCAACAATCGTTTGTGAATTGATATACCTAAATTTATAAAAGTTATTAACCTCAACAACTAGTGGAAGATATCAACAAATATAGTTATTATATGTGCAGGAAAAATATCTTACAGGGAAGCACCATAGCTAAAATATGAACCTATCAAAAATCAGGACATAATTTCAACGGCAAGTCAACTTTTAAATATTGCATCAACAAAAACCGTTGAATAAAATTTCTACTCACCTACCAACATTATTAAATACAAAACATAAGTTGACCTTTGGACTCCCTGAATGATTGATAAAACTTGAAGTGCATGTTAAATTATATCCTCGTCAACAAATCACCTTTTTCGAAATCAAATTTAACAATATGTTTGGTTGAGTTGGCCAAGTGACTGCTTTCTATAATCAAGTTGTCGGATCGGATCTTCCTGAACTAAAGTTCTTTTTGTAATGTATTATTGCTTATAAAATTTCAAGTAGCAATTTGATACGAATATTAACCAAAACAGACCACAAAAAAACAAAAATATCTATTTAAAAAATATTTGGAACTCGACCTGTTTCCCAGATGATACGAGTATATTAGTAGACTATTCACCAAATAATGTAACGTATCGTAGCAGGTTGCAGAGAATTGGCTCACTTGATAAGTTATCTGTTGATGACGAGGTTGAGTATACCAAATGAGACCTAACATGATAATAGTGATCATAATAACGAAATTCAATCGCTTACCAATGAACTTGTGAGTGCACATCACGAAATAGAGAATTTAAACATTGAAAACCTCCGCCTAAAAAAAGACTTGCAAAATGCCTTACACTTGATTGAGACCTATAAGAAAATTTGTATGACGCCAGAACGAAATAGTAGAACTCCCAAATCCTTACGTAAGAATAAGCTGTGTAATTCAAAAAGTGCGGTTCTTAACCAAACTATGACACAGGAACAAAATATAACCTTCCCTATAACCCTAACCTAAAAAGAATTCTTCAGAATTACAAGTGGTGGAAGAGATTAGCGTTGAAGATACTCATAGCAAAGCACTTAAAACGTCTACGTCTTTTATAACCGTGACCCAGTTCCAATTTTACCCATAAAGGATGAAGCTTTACCAAAAGTCAGAAAGATCATAGTATTCGCTGACCAACAAGGTCGCGGTATACGTCGCACCCTTCAAAAGCTAGTTGGCGAAAAATATGAAGTGAAATGCTATTGGAAAGATGGTGCGAAATTACAAGAAGTTTTAGCTACAATTAATGAGAGTGAGATAAAAATACTAGACAAAAATGACTTTATTATCATACTAGGTGGTATAAATGACAAAGTGCCTAATAGCTTATTATTTTCTTTCCAACAATTTTTGAATAACACTTGTAATACTAATGTCATAATTACCGAAATACCATACAATAAACTTTTAAACGAGCGTAAGTTAAATTACGAACTTAGATTTGTATGTTCTAACTACACTAATTACTGTACATATATGGACATGAATTACATAAGTATTTTACCACCATTACACTCTTTTGCGCTTTATGTATGTCGTTCTCTTCTAAAAGAAATACTTCATATTGACTATAAATTGCAATACGAATTGTATACCCAAACCCAAAATTGCTTGCCCTTGTTGAGGGACAAATGTACTCAAACTGATGCATCGTTGGAATATGTAAGAGAAGCTTCTACACCACAGAAATCAAAAGTTTTTTTTTGTGAATAAATATTTAAGTGTTCTACATCAAACTATAAATGGTTTGATATCTAAATCGGATCTTTTAGCGTTATCACTTGTTGATCTTGAAAATAACGTTGACGTTTTGTGTATAACTGAACACAACATGGTCGCATCTGACAAAGACTCGTTAATTATTAGTGATTATAAACTTGTTTCATTGTACTGTAGGAAAAGTCGACGTGGAGGATCTTGCATTCTCGTAAAAAATAAACATCAATGTGCCCAGATAGATAAAATTAATCAGTACTTCTTAGAGAACATTATAGAATGCTCAGGGATCGAATTGGTGCAACATAAAATATATTTATTATGCATATATAGACCGCCTAAGTCAAATGCAGAGGACATTCACACATTTTTTCAAACATTTAATACACTTTTGAAACGCTTTTGTTCTGGTAAAAAGAAAGTTATAATTTGTGGTGATTTTAACATAAATCTATTGAAAGATTGTTATGATGCAAAAAAATGTAGACACACTACAAAGTTTTAATCTGAGGTTAAGTATACACGAACCAACACGATTATTGAGTGGAACTTGCATTGACAACATAATTTTTAATATACGCGGTTGCAAAGGAAAAGTTCTAGAACTTGCGTTGTCAGACCATACAGCACAATTGCTTACATGTCTCGTGAAATCCAGTTTTCCCCTGAAATCATGGACAGTTGAAATACGCGACTATAGCAAGGAAAATTTGAGAAAATTTAAAGAGTGTTTTGATAGTCTTAGTTTCAGTGATGTCTTTGCTAGTGAAAACCCAAACATTGCTTTTGATAACTTTCACGACCTCTTCCATCTTTTCTATGTGTTTTATGTTTTTAAGTGTTTCCAATAAAACTAGTGAAAAAGCTAAGCTATCACACATATTATGCCACATTATAAACCTGTGCATTGCACAAGGTATTTTTCCTAACAAACTAAAACTGACAATCATCAAGCCACTATTTAAGAAAAATGATAAAAGTGACATGAGTTGCTATCGTCCTATTGCTCTAGTACCAGTTCTCTCAAAAATATTTGAGAAGGTTATTTATGATAGCATATATAACTACTTTGAAATTAATCATTTATTTTGTGATGAGCAGGTTGGATTTAGGAAGAACAGATCAATTGATATGGCTTTTTATAAATTTCTAAGTGCAATTTTAACTAAAATGGATAAAGGTGAGCAGGCATGCGCGTTGTTCATGGACCTATCAAAAGCTTTTGATTGCGTCGAACATAGCTTACTACTAAAAAAACTTTATGCATACGGCGTAAGAGGAAATGTCTATGATTTGGTTAAATCTTACTTAGCTGATAGATCACAAATAACCCAAATAAGTAGAATATGCCCAAAGACTAAAAAAGTTACGATATATACTTCATCTAGTAGAAAAGTCAAGTTGGGCGTGCCGCAAGGTAGTGTGTTGGGACCACTGCTTTTTAATATATATATAAACGATCTCCCAAAAGTGACAAATTATAACACAATTTTATTTGCTGACGATAGTACAATTATATTTACTGGAAAAGACAAGATACATTTAGAGCAAGAAATAAAATTAGCGGTGTATCATGGGCACACCCATGTGTGGGCGTACCTATTCTCTCTTCTGAGGTATGGTGTTGTGTTCTGGGGAAATTCTACAGATAGGGAAACTGTATTTAAGGCGCAAAAGAAATGCATGAGGGCCATATTCAGTATTAAAACTACAGACAGTTGTAAACCATATTTTATAAACTTTAAAATTCTAACACTACCATGCATTTACATATTAGAAACTGACGTGTTTGTGCGTAAAATGCTTATGTACAGGGTGGCGCAATAGAACGTGCATATTGCATCATCTTTTTTCGCGGGGTAGAAAGTGCGCGGGCGGGGGGAGCCTGCATCGTTGGGTAGGCGGGCTCATGGAGTTTTAGTCACTATGAGTCACTTCGACGGGAAGCGTCGCGCATTTTGCGTGCGCGCATTTTACGAGAACTCTCGTTCATACATCGTTACTAGGCGTTTATATTGTTCTGAATATGGACTACGGCAAATTAGTAAAGCTCCGAGTGCTAATTTAATTAAAATATGGGTACAGCGTTTTGAAGAGACTGGTTCAACGTT